AATAAATAACTCTTTTTTTCTATAATGTTCGTCTATCACCGAATTTTTCAGCAGGTTCATATAAACATGTGACACGGCATAAAGTTGTGAAAGTATACGCCGGAAAGTATTCGTCAGTGTCGATGGCCGGGCAACGTTTATCGCGTTTATCGTGTCGCCGATAAATTACCAAGAGCAGCCAGATATAAGCGTTACGGTCCATTAACCGGAAACTCCGCGTAATGCTCATCTCCGCGTAACGTTAATTTCGACGCGCGCGTGTTGTACGCGGAAATGGGGAAAAAATGCAGTTTTATTACAAAGGTACAAAACCGCTCACCAGGGACAAGAAACGAATTTCAGCGCTTCGCTTCGGGCACTCGCTCCGTCCCTTTCTCGCAACCAGCCAGTAAACGCGCATTTTTCTCGTCGTAAAATTAACTCTCTTTTCCACGCGCTCTCTCTCTCTCTCTCCTTTTTTCCCCCCGCCCTCTCCCTCCCCCCCCCCCCCCCCCCCCCCCTCCTGTCTCTCCTATACTCTCTTCTATCCCGATGAAAAAGGTTATTCATATCAGGGGGCGCGTACCCTTTTCCGTTGCAGATTACTTCAAAGCAAATATTCTCCCTGCGTTCAAAGGAATTACAAAGCTATAACTAAATCCGTCGAATTTTTGCGTTGCAGTTTAAAGTAAGATTGTTGTGATATGAATAAAATGACGAGTCGAGAGAGAGAGAGAGAGAGAGAGAGAGAGAGACTAAATTTGTCGCGTTATCGTCACGCGTGCGAATCACACAATCTGTGTGTAGCAATCAAAATTATCGATGTTGTCGCATGAAAATTAAAAATTCCATTTTCAATGTTATCAAATTTAAAATATTTAAAAATTTATTTTTTACTACACTTTACGAAATTATTTTTTACTCTCTAAATCTGAATCAGTGAATATTTGGGACTGTGTGTGACATCAGTGATATCCACTGATTCCCAAGTATACTACTGGTAATCAGTGAATTCGTAATGGGAAATTCAACTAAAAAAAAAATGGAATCTCTTCAAGAATCCCTAACTTAGCTAACCTTACTTTAGTGTATAAGTTCAACGTATATGGTATTAGAACTGACATGTAAATATCGGTATAAGGTGCTTTCCAGCAAAAACACAGATGACACATCATTGTATCTTCTCGTTGTTTGCCAATGTTGAAAAAAGACAAAATGATCACTATGTTACATTGTATCTCTTGATGGAAAGTATTAATTATATGATACTCAAACTGCCTTTCTTTTCCAGTTGAATTTCACTAATTCAGATTTAGAGAGTACATAGAGTTGTTCGGTTCGATTTATTAGGATAAAAAGTTTGCAAATGACATACAACCTGAAGCGATTTGTATCTACATCGAAAATAACACTTTGACATTTATTTAAAGGACTACTACAGAACCCTTCGTGCCCAAAACCACAATGACCCCGAAATGATGTAAAATTTGATGCAAAACCGAATAATGGTAAGCAAGTTGTCGGAAATGACACCTGTAGCCAAATGATTTTGTTCGCTGACTGCGGAGAGTGCGGATCGTATTTACCTCCGGTTTACATCGGCTTAATGCCGCGTTGATATTCGAAATAATAGCGACTCGCTGGCATAAACGTGGTCCTCGTACATCGTAACACGGTATCCATGTAAGCGTTTAGATTTACTGTTTCCACTAGCCAGTGACCAGTGAACATGGCTTTGCCAACGTTGAGGCATTATATCTCTACTGAGCAGAACGATCCGCCATATTGTATTTCACTGTCATTTACTGAATATGTGCAAAGCCCAATAATAGTCGTAAATCTACCATTGAGCAGTGCAGTTACCCATTTACACTTCTGCAGGTTGATTAGAGCAAATCCTGATATTTCCCAGTTCAAAAACTAACGATAGGTATCACTTTCCAGCGACAATCAAATCTGGAAACTTCAAAATTGCTTTAGAAATTTGAGAGCATAGATCGCTGTGTATTTTCAAAAATTTTATTCTTAAATAATATATTACACTTGATTCAAGAAGAAAAATTATTCCTTTAACGACTTAATTGGTCCCGTTTGCATCAAATACAAAGTCTTACAGTCCCCTCGTAATCTCAACGGTCTTTACGCCATTGTCCCATAACACCCATGCCATTAACAAGTTTCGAGCTTCTTAGTTCACGACTCTCTAAAGCGTCGTGGTCCTGTGGCCACTTCAATCTACAAAGACGGTCCGCGGTCGTCTCGAAGCCGCCAATTAAGTTAGTTACCAAATTCAAAAAGTCGAAAGAAGTGATTTAACGCGGCGAATAACAAATAGCGGGTATTTATTGGCGTTTCACGTTCAAGTGAATTTCAAGGTTTAGAATGAAATAGACTAAAAGAATCAAAATAAAAAAATTCGCACAATAAATTTACAGATACCTACGAGTTATTTTTTTATAAATAATTGACGTTGTTATTCGTTGCTGTAGAAAAGCAACGATAATATTTTTGTCATGTTATAGAATGAAAATAAAACCTCGCAGCACTATTAATGTTTTTTCTATCAATGATAAAACTGACAGAAATAGATGAATTAATGTAAATATCCTAAATCAAATATTTACATTTAGCTAGAAAGCTAAGCAATTCATATGGATTAAAAGTATAATACATTGATAAAACGCCTGAAGCAAGTTAATAGATTTCATTTGTGTCTCACTCTTGTGTCTTTAATATCTTTGAAATGATAGTTCGCAGGCACAGAACGCTACCGTAACTCCTTACTTTGTGAGTCTTTTACGACATTGTCTCGCGCCGCTGACCATTGGCGAGTTTCGGACTTCTTGGTCGCTGAAAGGAAAGTCAAAGACGGTCCCCGGTGTGAGAAAGCCGCCAATTAAGTCAAAAGGGGGAAAGTCCGCCTTGGCAAATTCCGGACGCGCGTACCGCTGCGGTTCGTTTGCCATCGTCAGAGCGCGACCGAGAAAATACACTTTGACCTGGATCGACATTAGGGAGACGCGTACCCGGTGTCTCTTGTGTACTCGAAATCGAAGTTCGTGGTTGTCGGCTACAGCGAACTCGAGAGATTGTGTCCGTTCCTTCCTCGTACATTGGATGAGGGCAGATTTGCCTCGATAGAGGGCCAAACAAGTTGAACGCTGCTGGACAACTTTCAAATAGGACAGTGAGCTTACCGCAACACGGATTCGGCTGTACGCGCCGTTCGAAGAAACTACCCGCGTACCGTGCCTGCGTATTAAAGAATTATGTTCAAGTTTAAAAGGAAAGAGTCAAGTTTGATCGATTAAAGGAAAGAGAAAATTTCGTTCGCGTGATGGATAACAAATACATTTCGCTTTCCATCACGTTGTAAACGACCGTCGATAAAAGTAACGTAACTCCTTGTAAACTGATCACGTATTTTGAAAATAACATATGAGTGTTTCTATTCGTAACAGAGAGCCTTCATTGTCATTATAAGACGATCTGTTACCGAACCGCGCAGGAGCTTAGCGGGAGAAATAAGCTCCACCGGTATAACCGCTGTACAAAAGCCTCTTAGCCCCAGCTCGAGTAAGGGTGAAAGAGGACTAATTTGTCTATCCGAGCACAGTTGAGGGAGAACTGGTAGAAAAGAGCCGCGGTTATGAGTCTCGCTTGGGTGTGCAACACATCCGGGAAACCACTCGGCCATTCGGAGGAACACGAACACGCACCCTTGCACGTTGTTTTCACGATCATCATAATCCACCCCTCGACGTTGTTTTCGCACAGGTTCACGCCAGATTCTGAGCGACCGAGGTGGATTAAGGATTTTCCGGCTGCCTCTTGTGGCCCCACTACTGCTCGCCGTCAGTGACAGAAAAAAAAGAATGACCCAATTCAGGGTTTTTCTGGTTTTAGAGGCCGGCTTTTGCAGCTCGTTGCACAGCAGCGAAAGCAGTAACGGTAGTCCACTCGTGCAACAAATAGCCGTAATAGTACTGTTCGTCGCATTCGCGTAAAGTGATTCGTAAACATTCTTATACAATATATTCGGTTTTATCGTACATATAAATAAATGTATATTTTTCATTTATGTTAATGAATGTTATTTCCTTTTCATTTTAATACGTTACTGTATAGGAACGTTCAAAAGCTTCTAAACAAAATTAAAAGACCACTCCTAATTAGTAATAACATGTAATAAAACACAGATAACTATAAAAAAAATTAACACAAAGTTATTTTCAAAAAGATATTTCAAAGCCTAAAGACTTTTAAACTTCATCAAATTTCTCTGACAATGCTTCTCTCAATAGCCCTTTTAGGATTGATGTAAAATTTAAAAAAGTTTCCAATTTTTAGACGTAGAATTTATACATAGAATTAAAAGTCATTTTTAACTTTATTTGAGATTTTCTATCTTTTTTAAAGTACTATTCAAAAAATTGAGCTACATTGAGCTCCTTTCGTTTAATTATTGAAAATTATCATTAGATGTTCATAAATTCATAAAACATGTAAAAAATTAATTTAAATTCTATATTCTCTAAGTTATTTTTAAACTTAAATTTTAGATTATTATATCATTCTTAAATATAAATGAATCTATTAATTAACTATAATATTTGATTATTTTATATCACGTTTTTTAAAGTGGAAAAAGAAAATTATTTTTCTGTAGGTATATAAATAATATGTCGATATTAAAAATATCTGTATTAAAAATACAAAATTATACATATATAGAAAAATCTGCCACGAATTGTAAATTTGATTTAAAATATGCATTGCCTAAAACAAATACTGTAAAATGAGCTATGTGTAAAAATTCTATTTTATAATTAAAAATTAATGTTAATAAACTTAAAGGATTCATATAATAATTTTTAAGGAATATTGTTAAATTAGAAAGTGTGCCTAAAATCATGTACTATATTCTGATATGATATTTTCTCACTCTCACACAGACTGTCTATGTAATCTTTGATAATCGATTTAGTTATTGACAGAGAATTTTCGATAAAATAACTTACCACGCGAAGCACCGAGAATGCACGACTGTGGTAGCAAAAAACAAGTCAGCACCAGTGGCCAATTCATCTTCGAATCTGCAACAAAAAAAGAAACAGAGTCGTTAGACAACCTAGTCATTTAAGAATTATTTGTAGCGACGATATCGAAAGACATCAAAAAACAATATCAATCTAAAACACTTCATCGAAGTGTTGGAAATTCGCGCTCGAAAATCGCTATTTCCTGTTTTAATGAAGCTCGACAATTGTCTCCCAAATAACTGCTAAAATAGTTTGTACAAAGCAAACAAACGCACCGAGCAGCTATATCGGTTTTCTTCTTCAACCACTGAGGCTTATCCCGCCTTATCCCCCACAAAATCATGAGAAAAAACACAGCCGGTGCAAATTAATGCGTGCTACACTCATTTCCAAACAACGGCTTGGCACAATTATAGGGGAGCAGCCCCTACGTGTGTAATATTGATAAGGAAGGCGTTCCCCGCTAATCCTTCTTTTGGTCAGTTATAACCCGATACCGATGGACGTGCCCGCGGCTACGTCACGAAGGGAGATGGATCGTTTTCAGCACGATAGAAATTCAGAAGGATCGATACGCCGGTAATTCTTGTATCGGCCCCGAGAATAAGTAGCCTATTGACCTCTCGGGCACGTTCTGAAATTAGACCAGCCGTGTCGATAAAACGTACTAGACATTCTCGTGTTAAAACATCGTCTCGTGCGGCTCTAATGTGTCCCGATTTCAATTTCATCGTAGCATAGAGTGCTTTCCAATTGTAAAATTACTAGACATTTTCATGCACACGGTAATAGAAATTGCGTTCAAATTGCCGTAATCATCACATAACATTACATCCGTACTCAGCCCGAGGGCTATTAGTCGGCTATATAAACTTGTGTTTTCTGATAATTGCATTAATAATCACGGTAGCTATAAATAAATTTGGACGTTGGGTGGTTGGCATATTGCTATTTTTTATTCAATACAGGAGGAAAAAGCTATGTTTAAACTAATTCTATCCGAAACCGTGCATACGTTATGTACACATTCTGTTTCAATTGAGTTGTGCACAATGTTACACTTGTACATTCCAGTATACGTTTGTGTTAAGACGTATTAAGCAATTGGAAAGTACTCGCCACACTATAATAATATTTAGATTGTCCATCTTGCGCTGTTTGTATTCCACGTGTCTGTGTGCAGAATCGAATCATGCTGTAATATTTGTAGATCCAAGATCTCATGCCGCGTCCAATAAAAATACGTCGAGTGGCTTAGGGTGGAGACCCTTTATTCGCGTTCATCCGAGTCGTTCAGCGAACGGTCACCGACACTCTCCGGCAGACGAGGACAAAATCTGGCGAAATCTTATGAGACGGAGTTTGCATTCCAAGCAAATTTTCGAAAGCCGCATTCCATGCACGATAGGAGGGTTCGTCATTGTGTGAAGCAAACAATCTTCTTCTATAATAATAGTTATTCCCATCCCCAGCTTCCCCAAAGGAGCAAGCTAATGTCTGACAACTGGCTTTTATTGTTTTCATTATTTTAGCTTCGTCAGCTTAACTGAGCAACAACTAACTTTCCTCGGCTCTCTAGCTCGAGCTCGAGCTTACTGACTTACCAAATAAGACCGACAATCCGTGTTCATGAATTTTCGTAGCTCTGGCGTTATTCACCATGTGAATTAATCCATATAACAAAGAAGCTTACAATAACATTTGCAATGTTATTGAAATATTGTTAGAACGTTGCAACGTTGCTATAATATTGTTGGAATGATATGTGCTGTATAGAAAACGCGGAGAAAGCAAGAATACGTGACCGATGAAAACGGAAAGCAGTAACCATCAGAGTGAGATAAAGGGTGTGAAAAAATAAGTTGCCTTCCCCGGTCGCGCGTGATAAGATGAATAGATGTGATACGATGTAAAAGGATACGAGTACCGCGCGATAAAGTATGAGTGTAAATATGAAAACGTATATATGTATTATCACGCGATAAAGGCGCGAGATATATTAATGGTGTCGCCGCGGCATTAAGCGTCCGATGCAAATTGCAACGTCGGATAAATGAATTTACGTTTCCGTGAAGTGTTTTCACTCTTGGCGCGGATGCACTTCCGCCTGTAATTCTTTCGCGTCGATCCGGAATACATTCGCTTCTTACAATAGCCCTCGATTGATACAGGTACGTCACAATAGTTTTCAACGTCGCTCTATATGAATATCGCAGTCAATGGGCGCATTCAGCGGAGACGACAATTGAGTAGCACTTGAGCAGTAATGCAACCCGCTTCGCTGAATATCTCAGAGTATATACCGATCGTATTCAATTGCTACTCAACCGTTGTCTCAGTTGAATGCGCCCAGTGTAAACATGAAATGAGATTTGGCCAGCTGTGTTTAGCCTTGCGCGTACAATAGGAATATGGGTCCGAAATTCTAATACATAGTGAGCGCGATTGATGACATTAAAATTTCCATGAGTGACACGAAAAACAATAAAATACAGGAAGCATGAGAATTTGACGATTTTCAAAATGAAATAAATAATATAAAATATAATACAAGAGAAATATAGACAGTTGATTATTTCTTATTTAACAATAAAATGCTTTATTTAACAATAAAATACCATTTGAGTATATCTGAGTATATTTGAATAATGATTAGACGAAACAGGTCAATGAGTGCCTCACTGATTCTTTATTACGATTAATTTCTAGACCCAGTAATGAAATTAAAGCAGAAATAAGCAAAAACTAATTATATTAAAGAATTAATACTCACTGAGCTGTTTCATCTGCTGAATACAGCTATTATTCAATTATACTCAGACATGCTAAAATTATATTTCTTGTTGTTATATAATATTTAAATTATATTTCATATTACTCATTTCATTCTGAAACTCATTAGGTTTCCATGGTCCATCCTGTGTTAGATAAAGAAGTTCATCCGAAAAGGATTCTTTCATTAAGAACCCTTCATCTCAACTAGATCATTCTTCTTTTCAGCTGTAGATAAAATATGGTGACACGTTGTAGAGTCAATCATGAAAAACGAAAGCAGGTACACGAGCTCCGTAAAAATCTTGAAAATTCACGGAGCGAATAAAAGCTCATCATAGCGTCGCTCTTACTCTTTATTTTCATCGCTTTTCACACCTTGGCGAGTTGATATTCAGGAAATTAACATTTTTTTCTTTTTGTTCGTTAGAAACTTATTACAGAAAATGCTTGTTCCACAAGGTATCAAGAACAATGATCTTCTCAATACAGTTCATATTAACTTGCTAATTCGTTTCCCCATTTCTCTATTTAGTCTACAAAATACTAGCAATTAGCTTCATAGTTAGCTAATTTGCGTCAGAAATAAACTGCCGAATAATCGAGTATTCGCTGTAAAATCAAGATCATTAATAAAACGGTAATATTTCATACGTCGGACGATTAAACGTTGTACCCCAGCTTCACCACAAATACGAGGCGCGAGCGTTCTCATTTGTAATTATCAAGGGTAGACAGATGAAATCGCTCTTCATCGCGACGCAGGATTCTCAAATGAAATCCCGAGGTAACTTAGTTGGTATTAACATCGGGAAAACGGGCGTGACGTAAATAAAGAATCCCCGTCACGACATTACCTCTTGCTTCTCACCGTCGGAGATCGGCAGGGGGGTTAGTCCTTTTCTCGTCGTGCTATGATTTCTCGCGAACACAGAGGGCAACTAATATCCGCGCAGGAGCCTCTATTTTTCTTTATTAGCTCGTCGCGATGTAACAATGCCGGCGCACACCGCGCCGGTGTCAATGAAGCTGGCTTTTCGCAAACTCGCCAGGCAACCTTTCGCAAACCGAGCTGGGCCGCGTGGATGCGACCGAGTCACATCTGCGGATTCCCGCAGAATATCACCGTCGTCTGCGCGAACAAAGGGAAGCGGGAGATAGCGGTAGGAGTCGGTACGAGGGACGCATCACACGGGGTGGATACGGGGTTGGCAACCAGTGGGGAGGAAGGAAAAAGGAGAAGAGGAAGCGAGGTGGAGAGAAGCTCGACGGAAGGATACGAAAGAGGGTGCATCGCCTCGGGCATCTCTTCGTGTCGGTCTCTTATGTCCTCTACCCCGGTCCTTACCTCTTCCAGTCGCATCGTTGCACCCTCGCTCTCTGCACACCCCTCTCGACTCTCATCCTCCCTTGGCCGTCCCGGAACTCCTCTAAATAGCCATGTGACGGTACCAGCCACCGTATTACATTCCGTACACACCGACACCGAACGACAACGCGCGCATAGCAATACACGCGCACGGATCCTAGAAGGTTTCTGAGCGAGGGACGCTCAGAAACTAGAGTTCCTGATCCTGATGGCGCCTACGGGCATGTGCGCGAAGAAACGACCACGTCGTTGCAGGTCGTTCCACGTGTCTGCGCGTGTGTTTTTGTGCGTAGTTACGTTTTCACCCGCCACTCGCCCATCCCCGATTTCGGTGTTTTTTTTCAGCCACCCCTTACGCTGCCAGACGAACACGTAGAGTTGTTGAGTTTTATGATCGCGACGGAGGTATTTCGCGCGCAATCATGATTGTCGGTCACCAGTTGTTCGCTATCTTCGCGATCATACGCGAAACGTGAGTTTGTGAGAACTTAGATATTCGAAATGACATCTGCGATACATAGCCAGTATGAAGTTCGATGAAAATGTCAAAAATTCACAAGAGAAATGAGTATCGTTCGACTTGGAGTATCGTTCTATTATGGCCAGTTACTATTTTGCTATAATAATAGCGCATTATTTCGTAATAATAGCAAAATTATATATTAATGTCAGAAAGTTACATGGGGTTAACATCTGGTGGTAAATTCAAAGTATGTTCGATTATTGATGCATCACATTCAATTTATTCGAGACCATTATGCAAGCTATACCATTATTTACTTAGTGCAATATTAACTTGCCATCAGGTTACTAATTGCATTAATAATATATTTTTCAATTATGTCGAAAGAACAATTACAAGCATAATATTTGCATATGTTAATTAAGTTTGTTTCTATCAATAACCTAATAT